TAAGAGTCTCAAACCCTCACTTTGAGGGGCTTGAAACCAAACTGAGAAAGCACTGCAAGCTTGAAAAGTTGGGAATACTTCTCTGGATCACAGCCCTCTAAGCCCAACAGAACTAGCCTATCTTCAACACTGAGCTCAGGGCGAATACCTGAAAATGATAAAAGAGATGAGGTCAGTAAAGGAAAGTACTAGGACAAGGAACTAGCCCAAGACCTCCCAGACATGACTTACCCAAATTATCAGGGGCAGGCCAAGCCTAAGGAGCAGGGCATGTATCAATTGCATCTCTACAATTATACTCCCATTCTCTCTCAAACACGAAGAAGAAGAGCTTCTTTCACCCCTTATGGGAGCTCGGGAGGTCAGTAATTATGACTTGGGACTTCACCCATTTAGCGATATAAAGGAAGCCATTTGAGGGGGTAACCTTGACATTAAAGAGTTTCATGAGTAAGGGTACCATGGGGACAACGAGCTTATTCTTCTTTAAGAAAACCAAAAGTCCCACTAAAACACCCTAGAAGTTGGGAGAAAGCTATATAGGGCAAACGTTGAAATGTTAGAGGGCACTCATGAGGAAAGGATGCATAGGAAACCGAGGACCATTCTCAAATGAAGCCACGAAGAAAAAAAATTTCTTTGGGACCTGAAAGTTATATTGATGTCTACATGAGGAGACCAGTACTGCATGCCCTTTGGGAAACCAAACCTCGTTGAAAGGACACCCAACAAAATGGGGTAACCTCACTGAACCCCACAAGGCTTGAGGCTCTAGGGGGGGCCCCTGTGCCCCTAGAAATTTTAGAAACCCCTACACCGCTCACTTTGGATTTCCCTTTTTGAGACTTCTTAAGCCTAGGAGCAAGAGAAGGTATCGACTTAGGGATCTCAGTCTTCTCCCCAGTGTCAGAAGAATTGACAACGGGGAAATTGTCTATTTCAACACTCATATCCCCCAGGTTGTCCTCTTCTAGCTCAGGAGACCTGTCACCCATAGCAAGAGAGATAGACAAAGCAGTGGCTTCGGAGGAAACAAACATGGATGGATAAGAGAAAGGAAGTTTGAATGAAGTATAGAGGGGGGACACGAGTAAAGCAATCCCTAAGAGCCTAGGGGTCGAGAAACCAGTGATCGAAGAGAAAAACTCTAGCAGTAGAATAAGGGTCCAAGAAAAAAGGAAGGAAGGACAAGGAACAAACTTAGTTCTTAAATTAATAGAAGCAAAAAGTCCAAAAATTAAACAACTACCTCGAATTCGAGGGATCCAGAATGAAAGAAAGCTTAAAAAAGAAAAGAAGAAGAAATAAAGCAAGGCACGTACCTCACAGAACCTTTGAAGTAAAATTGGGATTTTTTTTGTAAAACCCTAGATCCTCAACAAATTTAGGAAGATGAGAGGAAGAAAGAAAGGAAAGAGAGCAGAAATCAGAAAGAGAGAAGACGAAAAGGATTTCAAAATAATGAAAAGTACGGTTGCCTGATGATGCATTTAAGGCTAAGCACATAGATGGATACGTGGAGCCATAAGGAAAGGAACTTGCACAAGAAACGAGGAGGGAATGATTGCATGTTCGCCATAACCGTCAAAGCACGTCCAATCATGCGTATCTTGAGGTCTATCCACGGCAACTTCACTCACCTAAGGAAGACCTTAGTCATAGCTCATACAGCTCTGCCTAACCAGGGACTGGGGGGGGCAACTGATGGTACCACGAAAAGGCCCAAGGTTGAGCTTGGTAATGCAAGTTTTGACACTTAGTTCAAGAGCTCAACTCATCTACGTTATTTGCAGACCTAGACCTCAGACATCAGACCTTAAACTCCCTGTGTCTACATCTCGAGGAAGGCTGTGTAGAGGACAGTTGGATCCCACAAAGTACCCCCTTTTTGTAGCAACAATTGCTCAGTAGGCGCAAATCTCATAACCGCCCCAACATCCACTGTAGCCATTGTGCTATAAAGGCAATCATTATATGGGAGGGGCAAGGATCTTGCCTCAGATCAAGCTAGACCCAATGATAACTATAAATAGGAGGCAAAACCCACAAAATAAAAAATAAGCCATTGTAGCCTCACTAAAATACTTTCTGTAAACTTCCTAGTAATCAATATATTCAGGAGCAAGAGACTCATTTGAAAGTGGATTAGCCGAGTTCCCGAGCTGGCGAACCACTATAAACACTCAGTGTGATCTTTCACCTATTCCCAGATTCTATTCTCAAAAGCCTTGAAGCTCAGACTGAACTAAACTTAACTGTTCAGTGCACTTTATATTCACATCATTGCTCATTCGTGTTAAGAACATAATCAACTACCATGCTAATAAAGTATAAATTAAACTATTGAAATTATGAGGTTGAAATTTAAGTTGCTGAAATCAATAGATAAAAATAAGTGGATAAATCTAAGTGTAAAAATTCAAGCTGTAAATTAATGTTTGATGCTAGAATTTTTATATAGAAGGTGAAATAGTTTTCTTAAGTGTTGAAAAATAATAGTTAGAAATTGGTACTGTGATTATAGTAGCTAAAATTGAATCCATATGATTATACACGTGATTTATAAGTTGTATATCATTGATAGCAGTCTAAACATTATACTTCAAATGCTAAAAATTAGCATAATATCATGTTATTGAAAACAAGGGTTGTAATTGTTTTAAACCTATTGAAACTTTTGGGTTAAGGGTACTAAATTACATATTAGATGAATGGTATTATTTAAATACTATAAGAAATATTAGAGTGAATTAAAATGGTTCCTAAATGTGATCGTGATATACTCATTTGAAAAGATTAACGAAGTCTAAATATGGTCATTGTATACAACCAAAGTAGAGGATCAAATAAATGTTCATATGCATTCATTTGCATCAATTGAGTAATTTTGGGATAGATGCTCACTTGCATTTGCTCATATGCTAATTATTAGCATCGGAGGCTAAAACCTCGGTTGCACATAGGGATTGACCGTAAAGCAAGGAGAGGTTTCTGTAAACGATAAAAGTGAATTTTACTACTTCATAATAATTGAAAATAAAAGTATATGATCTATGAATTATTTTTCACTATGTGAAATGAATTTTTTGATGAATTGATTTGGGTTGTGCTGCTTAAACTATGGATCAAGTGTGTTTTTCTGAAAAGTTTGAAATTTGAGTATTATCCACTATGTCCGGTAGTTGATAGCTTGACATGGCTTACATGTTGTTGGTTTAGACACTATACAGTTGTCATGAGACAGTTTGACATTGCTTAAATGTTGTTGTTTGACTCATTGCTTATGTGGATATTTATTATTTTGATATATGAGATTGATTTGAGTTTCAAAGTGATTTAAGTTCACTTTGGTTGTGATTTGTGGGTTATGAGTATCTTTTTTGGTGGAATTATATTTGATCCATGCTTTTGTTATATTTCCTTTGATTATGATGTTCAGTACACTCAAGAAAATTATTAGTTTCAGGATGCCAAAGTCTAGAGTGAGGTTCACTATTGCACTAGCTTGGTAGAGATGAGGGAAAAATAAGGAATTTAGTTTATGTATATATTGTGCAGGAGTGTTTGTTTTCCTTTTTGTTGTAAAGGGATGAAATCTCTAATCTTTTGGTTTGGTACAAACGACACCATTGTGTGCTTTGTTATATAGCTTATCTCTTTTTGGTGTTATTAGGTTGCATTATTGATTTTTAATGTGTTATTGTATTATAGACACAAATATTGCTACGTGTTGAGTTTTATCAAAAAATTAGGTTAACAAAATCATGTACTAACATTGTTCACACTTTATCTTTAGAGTCATCCTCAACAAGGAGGAAATGAGGACCAACCCAAAATATTGCGCTTGCCAACAAAAAGCCAGCTGACGAGAAGCTTAATGTTGAGATGCCTAAAGAGCTTGGGTGAATAGTAGGAATGGAATTCCAACCACTTATAACAGAGTTGGGATGTATTGTTCAGAAGCAAGCACCANTGGGATAGATGCTCACTTGCATTTGCTCATATGCTAATTATTAGCATCGGAGGCTAAAACCTCGGTTGCACATAGGGATTGACCGTAAAGCAAGGAGAGGTTTCTGTAAACGATAAAAGTGAATTTTACTACTTCATAATAATTGAAAATAAAAGTATATGATCTATGAATTATTTTTCACTATGTGAAATGAATTTTTTGATGAATTGATTTGGGTTGTGCTGCTTAAACTATGGATCAAGTGTGTTTTTCTGAAAAGTTTGAAATTTGAGTATTATCCACTATGTCCGGTAGTTGATAGCTTGACATGGCTTACATGTTGTTGGTTTAGACACTATACAGTTGTCATGAGACAGTTTGACATTGCTTAAATGTTGTTGTTTGACTCATTGCTTATGTGGATATTTATTATTTTGATATATGAGATTGATTTGAGTTTCAAAGTGATTTAAGTTCACTTTGGTTGTGATTTGTGGGTTATGAGTATCTTTTTTGGTGGAATTATATTTGATCCATGCTTTTGTTATATTTCCTTTGATTATGATGTTCAGTACACTCAAGAAAATTATTAGTTTCAGGATGCCAAAGTCTAGAGTGAGGTTCACTATTGCACTAGCTTGGTAGAGATGAGGGAAAAATAAGGAATTTAGTTTATGTATATATTGTGCAGGAGTGTTTGTTTTCCTTTTTGTTGTAAAGGGATGAAATCTCTAATCTTTTGGTTTGGTACAAACGACACCATTGTGTGCTTTGTTATATAGCTTATCTCTTTTTGGTGTTATTAGGTTGCATTATTGATTTTTAATGTGTTATTGTATTATAGACACAAATATTGCTACGTGTTGAGTTTTATCAAAAAATTAGGTTAACAAAATCATGTACTAACATTGTTCACACTTTATCTTTAGAGTCATCCTCAACAAGGAGGAAATGAGGACCAACCCAAAATATTGCGCTTGCCAACAAAAAGCCAGCTGACGAGAAGCTTAATGTTGAGATGCCTAAAGAGCTTGGGTGAATAGTAGGAATGGAATTCCAACCACTTATAACAGAGTTGGGATGTATTGTTCAGAAGCAAGCACCACTTCAAGTGACAAAATGGGCAAAGATTGACAAAGCCGATCGGGAGAGTTTACTCCAAATGGCCAAGGTATGTGCTTTTCCAAGTACTCAAACATTTCAACTAGACTATGTATATTAATGTAATGAGACAAAGGGTAAATGCAACAAATTCTACCTGAGAAATGCATGTTAACCAAAAAGGTCATTGAGCATAAGATATGACGATTATTTAGTCTAAAGGAGTATATTGAGTTGAATAGAGGTTGGAGATGTTGCAAGTATGAGAAAATAAACAAGGAAATAAGAGGGGGAATAGGAAACAAAACTTAATAAAAGGAAGTTTCTGGTTTTTTTGCATCCAATAAACCAAGTTACTTATTTTTTATTTTGTAATTCAATTGTTGTTACCTTTATTTCTCACAGTGCCTTCGTTGTTAATAATGTAAACAATTCGCTATTTTTTGTAGGAATCGTTCAATCTCTATAATGAATAGGTTAAAGATATAACATTTGCCCAAAGGAACACACAATATCGGAATCATTGCCATAAGCTACACAAGAACCACTTCTTGCCACACCCAACAATAGGAGTAACAATACAACATCCACCACTAGGCGTGCCACAGGAATATTGGAATTATCTTTGTTCTTACTTTTCCTTTGATGAATTTAAGGTTTTTGAACTTACTATAGATACTAAACAAAATCAATTTTCCCTTTATTCGTTTAAAATATTTCTATTTTAATGTAGAAAAGGAGTGCTCAAAATGCAAGGAATCGGGCAATGCAAAACACACCTCATGTAACTGGGACAAAGTCTCTTGCTCGGGTGGGTGTGATATGCTTTAAAAACTAATTCATATATTTGAATTGATATAGACTACTCAAACAAGTGAAGTGCTTGGGCTAATTGAGTTATATAGGATAACTCATTATAGTAATAAGAAACACTCGGGTGAATGACCGTGTACATCATAATTACGTAAGTTATCAATTTGGTTAAAATTTTCATTTATCATCATATTAATTGAACTAATGTAACTTAAAATTTATATGCCTTGCCACTTTAGGAGCAAATGGTGGAGCTTTAGGCGCAGCCCGTAGGAGAGAATGAAGCACCCGTTTGTGAGGAGGAAATTTTCTTAGAGGTTCTTGGACATAAGTCGGGTTACATACGTGGTCGTGGGCATGGTTCGAAGCCTAGCCGATCCTTATCTAAGCACCACAATAAATCGGAGTTGGAGGCAGCAAACAAAAGGGCCAATGAGTTGGAAGAAAAACTGAATGCTCAACAAAAGGACATGGAAGTGATTAAGGCTACCCAAAAGGCCACAAACGAGATTTGTAAAAACTGATGGAGCAGATGCAAGGAGCAACTCAAAATGCGACAAATGAGATTTTGCAAGTATTGATGAAGCAGATGCAGGATGAGAGACACATGTATGCCCTTGCGCCTAACCCTCTTTCATGGTAGGTGGAATACTTGATTAATGAAAGCTTAGTTTTGATTTTTTTCCTTTTTTTTGAAGGTGTCATAAACTTTATTTATTGCATGATAGATGGAAGCAATATGGGGCTCAACCAGGGCGATTGCAATTGAGGTAAGTGTTCTCATTTTTACTTTTGTAGGATAAATTTGAGGGTGAACAATAATTCCATTTGGAGTATTACAACTTATTAACAAGTTCTTAATTCTTGATTCTACTTGTAATTATGAAATGACTCGAGGGCTTTATGGAAGAAATTGTGTAGTATACTTGCTAATATTATGGTGCTTTGATTTATTAATTAGAGATTAATATTGTGATTGACTTGACACTCAATGACAACATACATCCATTAAATAAGTTTGTCATGGTTGTTAAGATTTGATGATAAGGCAATAATATGACAATTGAATTTTTTGACTTTAAGTTTGAGTTAATTATTATTGATTAGATATTCAGCTCATTACCATATTTGGAAGATTAGTTTTTATTTAGTTGATGCAATCATTTTGAGCAAAACATTTATGTTTGTCAAGCATGGTGGTCTTTCTTCATAGGATTCATACTTTTTAGTGATTTATTCTTTTTTCTTTTAATCATATTAGTACTATTGTAATTTTGGACAATGGGAAGTAGATGATGTAATGAGCCTCATGATATATATTAGAAATTGTGTATTCTTTAATGATGGTCATCTATAGTCTTTCGTGTTAAACCTCCTTTAACAATGCTAAAAGTGCGACAATACATTTTCTTAGAGTGCAAAGTGCAGTACATTGTTATCAGAAATTAGAAGGAACATTTGGTTGGTTATCACTCAGTTTAAACCTTTGATAATAAGTGTTGAAGTTTTGTTTCTTGTGTTGCATAAAGTGAAAAGAAGTTTGAAAATAAGATCTAGACATTACCAAGTCTATATTTTTATGATGACATTTTTTCCCAAGCTTTTACTATTTTATGTGATTTAAAATTAAAGAGTTGTGACAGTTATTATGGTGTTTAATTTTTGCTAGGGTGGTTATCTCTGTGACATCTTTATGAGAATAGAAGACCGTGTTCAAAGAACCAGAATTAATCTGAATGCACTAAGTAAATTTTTTTGTCCGTCATGAAGTTTGCTTTAGATCTTTTCATGGTTATGGAAGGAACAAAGACCAACAGTTTATTGTTAATTTTTTATTTTGTTGCTTGAGAAAAACTTTTTTTATTGCTTTTTTTTTTGAAGTATTCATCGGATTTTTTAAAATTTTATGTTAATTCCACAAGTTTTTAATTTTATAAATAAACTATGATTGAATTTCGATTTGTTTCGAATGATATTGAAAGATTTGTATATTTTAATTACAGATCAATTTTATACAGGGTTTATGAAAGTTGACAACCACTAAAGTCGTTATTATGTAAGTGACAACGACTAAAGTCGTTACTATAGAGTTTTTTAGTGACTGCTATAAAATTTGTCACAAAAATACTATAAAATTTTATAGTGACAACAAAAAATATGGTCACTGAATAAGTTTTTAGTGACGATTATAAAGCTGACCATTAAAAGTAAACAAAAATTGTTAGTGACAATCAAAACATTGTCACTACCACCGATAATTTAGTGGCAATAAAACTTATCCTAATTAGGGATGAAAGTTTGAAATTGTTACTAAATATATTAGTGACAACAAAAAGTTCCATCACTAATGATTGACGGATACTAATTAATGTCAATATATTTTGACACTAAAATATTTTTTTGGGCTAAAAGTAATTTTTAAGTGACGGAAACATACGTTTTAGTGATGAAAGTTTAAAATATTAGTGGCTATTGAGAGTGATTCAGTGATGATATAGAATCGTCACTAAAGGTTTAAATTATTTGACACAACTTGTGTAGCTTGTCACTATTAACTTTTAGTGACATATGTATAGTGACAACCTAGTGACAATTGTTTTTTGCCACTAAATAATTTTGTGACAAATTTAAGAGTTTTATTGACGACTTTTCTTGATATTAAAGTTGTTATTTTTTGTAGTGAGTTTTATGGTTTTAACTTTGTGTAAAATATAAATTGTTTTATTTTCTCACTAGATTTGTAAGTAATTTCCCTAACTGTTGACTAAAAATAAAAAAATAATTAAGTAGAATCACCAAATGTGAAGGAAGGAAGCAAAAAAAGAAAGCAATAAAGCAATTACAACAACTAAGGTTGCGTTTGGTAACGTTTCATTTTTAAAAAAATAATTAATTTTTTTTGTTTTTTCTGTGGTTAAAAGTTGAAACAAAAAATGTGCTTGGATGTAGTTGTTGTTTTAATATATCTAACAACTAAAATAGAAAATACGTTTGGTAACCAATTTATTTTATGTCATGTGCTTTAGCTTTATACTAATTCCCACTAAAACACATCCACATTTTTATATCAATACATCCATCAACCCATAAAATATTGCACAATACATCATATTTCATAATTCTTAAATCTTTTTTTTTAATTGAACCTCGATGGTAAAGGAGAAATTTATTGAATAAAAAATAAATTACACCTTCTTAAGGGGGAGGGATTGATGCACCCTATACTTAGGGGGGAACTGATATACCTTACTCCTAGATGTAATCTAATTACATATATTGAATGAATAAAATTCTAATGCATGAAAATTACATTTGAATTTCCTTAGGATTCCAAAGACTAAACAACTTTTGAATTTCCAAAGCTAAATGATCCCTGAGCACAATTCCTCCACTAGACATCCCAGGATTACCCTTCAAAGCCTCATCAATATTTAACATCAATCGGCCTTCTATTGGACTCTTCTAGGAAATCTAAAGGGCAAGCATATACATATGACCAGGTTTGCATAGTTTTCAATTGTAGTAACTGTCTTCTTTCTTGCAAGGTGTCCATGGTTTTTGGTCTAATAGGCACCAAGTTTTCATGATTTAATACTATAAGCACCTTCTGGGATTTTGAAATAACAGGCTTAACATGTGGAAATTTTGACAAATCCATACACATAGGACCCCTACTTATATTATCCTTCCCTGAATGATCACCTTTTCAAAAATCCACTTTCAATTCCAAATTAAATTCAAACTTCCTAATACATAATTCATAATTCACAATCCATACATCATAAATCACACTTCATTATTCTCAAATCTTAATTCATTCTTCATAATTCATAAATCACAATTCATAATATACACCCAAAAACAAAGATGCACACACACACACACACACACACACACACAGATGAACACATACACACTCAAACACGCACAGATGAACACATACACACACAAAAACACACAGCTGCATTGACGCACACACAACATATTGACCCATCACACAGATGCACATACAACACACAACCCACAACACGAAGATTTGAAACAGAGATGAAGAACAAAAAGAGATGAAGAAAGATCCTTGAATACTAAACCCTAGTTACGAAATTGAAAAAAAAAACTCTAGATTTGAAAATTGAAAAAAAAAAAATCCCTACATATGAAATTGAGATAAATCAAACCAAACCAGGCCTTATGTCGCAATCATTTGGGGTCGGTTATATGAGTTTGTTTTTGCCATTTATTTCGATCATGCGCTCTACGCTTATTTAAGTTAAATATTTTCTTATTATTTTGTTTAATGTTAATTTAGGTCTACATCTACTTCTAGTACCATTAAGATAAATTCTCTCATTTTTTTCGAACCAGTGTCTCTATTGGCCTCCGTTGAACATGACAAAACCATTTTAATCTATTTTCTCTTAACTTATTCTTAATTGGAGCTACTCCTACCATTTTTCTAATATGGTCATTTCTTATTCTATCATTTCTATTTTTTTCACACATTCATCTTAGCATTCTCATTTCCGCTACACTCATTTTGTCACTATATTGTTTCCTAGTTGCCCAACATCCTATCTTATACAACATTATTGTTTTTATAGCTATTCGGTAAAACTTAACTTTCAGTTTTATTGGTATCCTTTTATCATATGATATTCCAGAGGCTGTCCTCCACTTAAGCCAACCAGCATTGATTCTATGAGTTACATCATCTCCAATCTCTCAATCTTTTTAATGATCGATCCTAGATATCTAAATTGTTTACTTGTTGAAATTTCTTGATTTTCAATATTAACTTTTTTCACTATGTCTATTTTTTCTATTACTAAAATTGCATTGCATATATTCAGTCCTACTCCTACTTATTTTAAACCCTTTCGACTCAAGTGTATCTCTTCAAATTCTTAACTTATTGTTAATCCCCTTTCGAGTTTCATCTACTAATATATTATCATTTGCAAATAGCATTAACCTTGGGACATCATCTTGAATGTGCCTAGTGAGTTCATCCAAAATTAGGGCAAATAGGTATGGACTTGGGACCCATCCTTGGAGTAATACCAACGTGATTGAAAATTCTTTACTTTCTCCCACAGAAGACCTAATTGTAGTCATAGCCCCATCATACATGTCCTTTATCACTTCAATATACCTATTCATCACTTATTTTCTCTCAAGCACCCTTCATATTATATTTCTAGGTACTTTATCATCCACTTTTTTCTAGATCTATAAATATCATATAAAGATTTTTTTGCTTCTTGCTATACTTTTCTATGAGTGTCCCAGTAAATATTTAGCCTCCATAGTTGATCTACTTGGCATTGATTTTCTGGCATTGAAGTCTCAACTCTTAGGCAACGTTCAATGACTCTTTCCCATAATTTTATTGTATGACTCATCAATTTTATCCCTCTATAACTATTACAATTTTGAATATCTTCTTTATTTTTATAGTCAGGTACTAAAATACTCTTTTTCCATTCATCGGGCATTTTCCTAGCAGCAATAATTCTGTTGAATA